CGGGTGGGGGTGTGTGTGAGAGAGAGAGAGAGAGAGAGGAATCAGAATCTATAGTTTTTCTTATAATTTCTATCAAAATCTTTTTGTAAGTTACTCCCTGCTTTTCGTTCCCTTCATCCCTATCTCACGCCCCTGTAATTTCTTCTGATCTGTTCTCCTTTCTCTGATCCTGTGACTCCCTTTTCTAAAGGCACTTACACATGATGCACTTCTGTGGATTCTTCCCATGTTTCCTCCTATTCCTCCCTTTCTTTTGCTGTGTGTGTGTGTGTGTGTGCGTGGGTGCGCACACACTTGTGAGAGAGAGAAGAGAGAGAACACATACACAGGCCCCTGTGATTTCTGTAGGCAATTCTAATATTGGAACCTCATTATTGATCATCAGGGGCATCTGTTTCCAGCACTGGAAATCTTGAACAACGTGAAAATAGTAGTCGACAGCAGCCTTCTGGGGAAACAGAGCATTCAAGGAGCTCTGCCACGGGCGTGCGAGTGGTGCCTGTTCGGACTGTCGTCGCAGCATTACCCGCTTCTGTTAGCCATCCTACTCCCCCTGACAGATCTGGTAGTCCCGTTGGTGTTTTTTATCCCCTTTTTGCAAGGTTTCAGAACCTTAGTTCTAGTCAGTTGAATAATTCTAGGGGTTCTGGTCAACCTCACCATGGTGGGCCTGATGCTTCTCAATCTCCTCTAGGGCATGACCAAAACAATGGAACTGTTTCAAGTGAGAGTGGTTTAAGATCCACAAATTCGACTTCAAACAATGGTGCAGATACAGCAAATGCTTCGGCCCCCGTAGAAGGTCAAAATCGGGAAGGTTCGTATTGTGATCTATGGAACTCATGTTTAGGGTCTTGAATTGCTATAACTAAGGCTTGATATCATGTGCCTGCATGCATGCTTTGTATGTAGGTTCGTATGTATGTATGTGCATCCATGCATGTCCTGAATGTGTGCGTGCGCACGCACTCTCGCTCGTCTGTGTGTGTGATGACACACTTATGGTATGATGACCACCTTTAATTTGCTCACGATTGTTTCTTGGTATTCAATGTTACTCAAAAACTGAGAAAGGATTGCATGTTAGGCAGCTTGCCTTCACGTTTAGTCACAATGGATATATTCTTTGTGCCTAACATGCCTCCACTTTTTGTCACAATGGATATATTCTTTTTTCTTAGCATTCATTATGATTCTTTTTGGTTCTAGTCAGCTTTGTGAATCTGTTGAATTTGCATTACTGTGAGTATTCATATGCAGAATTAGATAAATTCATGTTAACGTTAATCAGCAGGATTACAGTAACATATGAGGGTAGAAAGGCAAATATGCCCCTCTGTATAAGGTCAGGTAAATGACAGTAAATATAAATTTTCATGCATATTTACATTATCTATATATGTAGACATCTATCTATCTATATGTATATAAACATCTATCTATCTATATGTATGTCTATAACTACATGTGTATGTATCTCCCTTAACAGTGTTAGGGTGGGCTGATTTTCTTTCTTGGTTTATTTTAAACTCTATCACCAGGGTCAACTTCCAGACCACCCCAACCATCAACAGACGCCTCTCGTGGCACAAACTCCAACCCTCATGATCCACCTAACCGACTCGAGCAGTTGCTCCACACCATTTTTCCAGGCAATCAAGTCCATGTTACGGACATTAGCATTCAAGGCCCAGTCCCTGAACATACTCAACCAGTCCACAGAATTGTCGAGCGTGCAGTATTGGATGATGCTTCAAGGGCTGCTATCTCAGGACTGATGCGTCAAATCATGCCCCGGATATCTCAAAGCTTGAATCGAGAGTCTGGTCAGTCATCATTTAGTAATATTGGTTCTTCTGCATCAGGGAGGAGTGATGTTGTAAATCGACAATCCAGGAATACAAATGGTGAAGTGCGACCTCAAACACCCCAGATGGGTTCCTCAAGGCCACGAGTAAGGAGAAATTGCAGTTTTTATTTTGTGATTTGTTTTTGACGGGTTTCTTTTGGCTGTTTTGGATTTTTAGATGTCTCAAGAAGTCTGTCTTTTGTTTATCCTTTTGCTTTTCTCACTGTGTTCTAAGATCCAAAGTTATTTCCAAGAATTTGGTGTTTGCTAATGTCCTTTTTGATACTCAAATTTTGACTTGCAAATATTTTGCAGGATGAGAGCGACAACTCATCTGAAACCCAGAGGTCGGGGAGGCAACACCCTAGTGATGAGAGTCCCCAGGATTCAAAGCGCCAGAAGGTAGACTATTTCAGTTCTAATTGTGTTTGTGCATGTATGCCAAGGTTTTCAAATTCAACTAAGACCTTGTGCCCGAAAGGCCAAAATGAACAGAATTTATATTGCCTATAGTTTTGACTGCTGTGATTAATATGGCTGAATTTGCCAAGATTAGTCTGTTGTAAAATCTTGTACTGTACAAATATGGAGATGTTTTGGAAATTTTGAAGTGTGCAAAAAGGAATTGTATACTATGAGACCATTTATCTTTGTTACAAGGAGGTCACAAGAGTTATTAGTCATTAGATATGAAATTGAATGTCTTGGATTATCACACAAAGTTCGAGAATTTTTTTTTTTAACAAAGTCTAGTCAATGACACACTTACAATCACTCGATTTGAAATCGGACAGTGACCTCCTTGTATTATAAGTAAATTGTCTCTTTGTATACTTTTCTTTTATTATTTTAAAAATCTGATTGTAAATTTTCTTTACAAAATCTGGAGATGTTTCCTATAGAATCCAGATCGTGAACTTGATTTTGTCCATCATGCAGAGGGAGTGATGCTGTTGATATGTCGCATGATAAGCCCAACTACATGCAAATCCTTGGTATACATATATGCACCATTCTCTTTATCTTGTGAAATTGTGGGTGGTGGCCTAGTAGCGAGAGGAAAGAGGTCAATAAGTGGAGGACAACCGGCCTATACCGTTGGGTAAGCATAAGTGAATAGATACATGGCCATTCTTTCTTTGAGGTTCAACATTAATAGGGGGGCAGTTAAAGCAGGCTTTTGATTCTTGTTCTATCGAGTATTTTGATTTTCAGAGACAATGCATTACTTGCTTGAGAATGATTTAGAAGTCTTGAGACCATTGGTGCAATGCAGTTAGATTTTGACTTGGGTTGTACAGGTCCATGTTGTTGTAAGTTGCTTATATGAAGTAAACAAGGTCGATTCTTGTCATGGAAGAGGTTCGGAAGTTTGAACAGTGTGTGTATACTAGTCCATTTTTGGATGCACATACACATCCAAACCCTTTTTTTGATTTCATATTTTATATTGTTGCAGATTACTTTCAAATAGTTTCTTAATTAAACTATTATACTAGTCCTCAATTTCATAGGAAAACATAAAATCATGGGATTCTATATAATTTTGAGAATTTATTTGTAGTGCTTTGTAAGGTCTTTTTTTGTATCCCATATTTAATATTAACTTTTTAAAGAATTTTTTAAACTAAAAGCAATTTTAAGATTGCGTCATGTTTCTTGAAAAAACAACAAAAATTGTAAAAATTATATATATATGGAAGCTACTACACAACACTTATAGGCGAAAATGAACAGTTTTTTGCCTATAGAGTAAGTGCCGTCTGAGTTTTTTGGGCGGTGTAGATAAATCGACTGCATTAGACATGCCATGTCCGTTGTGGTACCATTTGGTTATTTGGATTCAGATTTCTAGGAGTCACTTTTTTTTGAAAAGGTCGGGCCAATTGTGTTTGGTTCGATCAGAAAGTTAGAATTGACGTTTTTTGTTGGAAATTTGATTATGTGGGATTTCTGAATGCTCATTTTAAGCCTCAATTTTGGAAATCTCAATTCCATCAAGAACCCGTCACTGCTCTATGGTAACTTAGATTGAATAAATTTTTTGAGGCCATAGGCTAGCGACTAAGGACCTTTCATCTATGAATGAAAATGAAACCTTAGAGATGTTGAGAACCTGTGCCTTTTGTTGTTGAAGAACGAGAACATATTCAAATTTTAGAGTGGGAAAATATATCAAATTTTAGAGAGGGAAACTATATGAAATTTTAGAGAGAGCATATTAAAATTTTAAAAAGAAACTACATCAAATTTCTCAAATTTTAAAGAGAGAAAGTACATGAAATTGTTTAAGAGAAAATGCATGAAACCTTTTAATAGAGAGGTTACAAATTTTTAGAGAGAGAAATTATGTCAAATTTCAAGTTTTAGCATCTTAAAATTTTAGAGAGAAACTAAAACTGCTTAAAATTTTTTTAGATAGAAATATCCCAAAATTTTTAGAGAGAGAAATTATCTCAATTTTAAGTTTTAGAGAGCTTATTAAAATTTTAGAGATAGAAAGTATATCAAAGTTTAGATAGAAACTATCTGAAATTTTTTAGAGATAATCTATCTCAAGTATTAAGTTTTAGAGAGAAAATATCTTAAAACTTTAAAGAAAAACTATATCAAATTTTAGATAGAGAAAGTACTTGAGATTTTTAGTGAGAAACTATTTCAAAATTTTTAGATAGAGAAATTATATCAAATTTTAAGTTTTAGATAGACAGTATATTAAAATTTTAAATAAAGAAACTACCTGAAAATTTTAGAGAGAAACTATTTCAAAATTTATGTTTTAGAGAGAAAGAGCATCTTAAAATTTTGGAGTGTAACTATATCAAATTTTAGAGTAAAAAAGTACTTAAAAATTCTTAGAGAGAGAAAATATCTCAATTTTTAAAGAGAAACTATATGAAATTTTAAGTTTTAGATAGCAAAAGTAGCTTAAACTTTTAAAGAGAAAAACTCTTATCATATTTTTGATAAGAGAAACTACCTAAATTTGTTAGAGAGAGAAACTATCTCAAATTTTTTTTTAGAGAGAAATTCTCTGAAATTTTAACTTTACTAATGATCCTCAAGAATAGAGTTCCTATGCAATATAACCCCAATGAAATTTTTTTTCCTACTTTTTACCTCAAAATATACTTTTCTAGCAAATAAACGCCCAACCAAAAAAATAAAGAAAAGAAAGACTTAACTACCGTTCCTTGACTTTTATGTGTGCCTTTCTCTCCTCTAAACAAAAGTGCTGTCCGACAGATGTATATGGCGGTCTAGCACTATTCTTTCTGGATAAACATGTGGTCCGACAAATGGATATTGCGATCCGACACTTTTTTCCTTGACAAAATGCGGTCCGACAAATCCATATGGCGGTCTGGCACTTCTGTTCCTGGACAAATATGCGATTCAGCAAATCTATATGGCGGTCTAGCACTTTTATATATGTGGTCTGATATATCTATATATGCGAGTTTAATGGGGTCAGGCAATTGGTACATGGTGGTCGGGCAGCCCGTGTAGCATTTGGTATTGTGAGTAAGCTCACGTGAATGTCCAGTCGAAATTAAATTTTTATGTACGAAAAATGATAATTTCGTTAAAAAAAAAGACTTTTTTTTTACTTAGGAAGAGGAGGGGGGGGGCTAAAAAGTGAGAAAAAAGTTTGGTTGGGGGTGAGTTGCATAGGAAGTCTATTTTTGGGGGTTTTTGTAATTTTTTCAAAATGTTTAGAAAGAAACTATTTCAATTTTAAGTTTTTTTTAAAGAGAATGTGTATCAAAATTTTAGAGAAAAAACCATATCAAATTTTAGAGAGAGGAGAGATTATCCCAAATTTTTAGTTTTAGAGAGAGGAGAGATTATCCCAAATTTTTAGTTTTAGAGAGAGGAAGTATATCAAATTTTGTTATAAAAAATGGACATGAAAATGATTGTAAAGAATCAATAAATTTTATACTGTATATCGAAACAAGAGACTTGAGGAATCTATGACAAGAATCCTTGATATTGGAAATCCATAGATTTTCTTGGATTTCAAAATTTCAAAATTCCTAATTTCCGATATACAAGAGACTTGAGGAATCTATGACAAGAATCCTTGATATTGGAAATCCATAGATTTTCTTAGATTTCAAAATTTCTAAATTCGTAATTTCCTCCTATACAAAACAGGTTGTACCAGTTTTCTCTCTTTTGGTAAAGGGAATTTATATTGTAATAAATTGAAATTGGGTTTTCTGGTTCGTGCATTGTTTTCTCTCTCTAAAGCTAGAGAGAAACTTGTCTTGCATCTCACTTGTTTTCTTTTCTTTTTTTTGGACGGGTACTTGTTTCTCCTCTTACTTGTGTTGAGATTTGTCTTAGAAGAGAAGTGTTTCAAGAGTTCATGGTCATTTGGAGAGAGAGAGAGCTTCTCTAGTTATTTTAGTTGGTGTTATTTTTGAGAGAGAGAGAGAGGTGCAGCTGGCTTGGTGTTTGAAAGGGAGAAAGACTTATTTTTTGACATTACACATAGGAAATTAGAGAGAGATGATTTGCATTTTTAGAAAAAAGATATTCCTGACGATCGAAACAGTGAATTTGCATTTTTTTGGTTTCTACCGGAGGCTTCTAGCTGATGCAATCCAAACAACACACACCATATTCCAAGAAATGCCAATTCTAGTAAATACCAATTCTAGAATGCACTTTTCTACAAGATTGAACAATCCAAAGAATCTAACTGACTTGCTCAATTCCTGACAGAATCTATTCCGACGATTCCAAGGGAACCAACTTGGAATCTAACAATTCCAAGTACTCAATACTGCACTTTTTTTCGGGGGTAATTCAATGGGGATGACATGCCCCTACCCGTTGTTTCAAATAGATCTTGGTTTAAACCGATTCCAAGTATTCAATACTGCACTTTTTTTTAGGTAATAAGTGGGGAGTTAGTTTTTTGAAAGTACGAATAAGGTAGCGTTGGTGGTAAGGATGAGTACCGTAACGTGATGACTAGGGTGTGGGGTGCCACCACCGCAACCCCAGCCCTTTCCCAACTCAATACTGCCCTTGGTATACAAACTACGTTTTATTGTCCATGATTTTTGGTGTTGCGGGACCCGTAAAATATTCATATTCCATTTGATTTGGAGCTGCAAAACCTCTGACTCCCCCCAACTATTTTTTTGAAATGTGTGTTTGGGGTTTCGGTGGATTTAGAGCATTTTTGAAGCACCCAAATTTCTAATTTTCATTTTCTGATAACAGTTTTTAATGTGAGAGAATGATTTGGGACGGTAATCCGGCCATCCAAAATGGTTTTCGAGGGGTGGGTACACCAAATTTGGTATTCCTGAGGGGGCACACTATCATAACCTGAAATTACATTATTAAAATGATAATGTGCCGTCAAAAATTCAAAGTTATCCAATAATGAATTTAAGCTCAGGTCCCCCTAAATATATTTTATTATAATTTTTAATTTTATTTTATATTTTACGTTGATCTCTTAATTTTTATTTTTTATTTTTCCCCACATGCCTTTATAAAAGGAGTTGAAGGGTTGAAGTGAATAGAATTCTTGATTTCAAACCTTAAAGGTCGAAAGTGCTCTATGGAACTCTTGGGAGGATTTCAACCTTAAAGATCAATAGTCTATTCATTTCGAATCTCCAAAGTCTGAAATTTTATCACTTCGGACCTTCAAGCTACAAAGATAATGGACTTTGAACCTGTCCGACCCTTACTTTGACCTTCAACGCTCGAGGTGATGGGTGGTTGAGTTCCAAATTGGGTTCTTTCCAATTTAGGAAATCTTGCTCCTAATGCATTGTGGAAAACGATCATTTCTCATCCTGGGAAACATTATCCAAAAATGCAAAAAGCCTATATTCAAAGCGTATTAGTAATTGAATATTAAGGAAAACAATTTTCCTTTTTATGAAAAAAGACCATAAATCTGATATTTTATTAAACAATAAAATGATTAATGTAGTGTTTTCCAGAGTACATATATGAAACGAAGTTCATTTTACCTAATTTTGTGTTATGAAATTTACTCTCAACTGATTAGATTGGATCCTAAAAAAAAAGTTAACTAACACAAAGTTACAATTTGGGTCTTGAAGGTGAAGTGAACTCTAAATAATCACTTCTCCGTAAGGTCCAAAATGACTGGACTTTGTCAATTTATTTTGGAAAAAATTACACCATCATCATCATAGTTTTTTCTAATTATTTGTAGTCGGCTACACAAATCTTGATCTACCATTCTACTCTATCAAAGACCATATTCTCACTGAGGCTATAAATCCCCTTAGCTTTTCTCACTACTTCCAATCTTGTGCTTTAGGACATACTTTTTGTCTTTTTTAAGCTTTTATTTTGGAAAAAATAAAAATAGAAAAAAAAAAGGAAGGTATAAAAGTAAAAGCACAAATAATTGGAAGGTTTTCCATAATAATAGATATTTTGGAGTATGGAGTACACTAGAGTGTAAATTTCTCATTACTAAAATAACTAGAAGACCATGTCACTATATCTATAACAATGATGACAACTACTATCCTCACATATACGTGAACTGCACCTAAAGCCAATAGGGCGAACTCCTCCATTTACACATATGAGAGGCAAAATATGCTTGTAGCACTCAGAATAGGGTTTATGAAATTCAACATGAAGTAAAATGCATGAATTCTCAACCAGAAATTCATGGAGGATGCTACCAAATGGTGGCATAACAAATCCAATTTACCTGACAACAACCTCAGAAATGTAACTCCCACCAACTCGACCAAGAAAGTTCCAAATGCTGATCATGGAAACAAATAAATGGGTGTTCTCATAACCAAGGATTGGCTTAACTCACCCATGTTATCAATCGCTGTTGGGCTCGATCCCCCACCCAACAGGAGAGAGAAGAGGATTAGCCAAAAATCACTTTTGATCAATGCTTGCAACAAGGTGAAGTGTTCTCCTCCACGCGGGCCCTCTCCTCTTCACTCTGACAGCTCCCCATGCCACTGCTTTTAGCAATCAAGCCTGCAATTCTGCAGTTCTCTTCTTCCTTTCACAAGCTGGAAGCAAATCAACCTCCCTTGGCTTCTCATCCTCAAATTCACCTAATATCACCTCAGGTGTACGTATGGGTTTCTCATCTGTTTCCTGTTTTAGAGGCTCTTGCAATGGAGTCCCATCTACTAGAGATTTGGAGTCCTCGCAAAACTGCAATTTCAAAGGCATAACAATGGGAAGCAAAACAAGAATAAACAATACAATAGTGAACACTATGGTTGCATCCCTATAAACATCTGTTAAATCTTCGACTAACATAACTCCCATCAAATAAGCTGCCAGGAGGAGGCATACACCGTACACAAATGTGAAGCTTGAATTATCGGAAGTTTGAACTTGTCTGTGCCCTCCAACTGGTCGAACAAAGAAGATAAGAGCAATGATCACCATAGCTGGTCCTACAGCTATCATGAAGATGGGTGCAACTTGATCAGGGGGCATTGATCATGGTGTATATATGGGTCAAAATTGCACCACTGAGGCCTGCAAATCCCTTCAATATCCCCACAATTGGACCCCTGTACTTGGATGAGTTTTGAACACATGAGACCAATGTGGCCGTGTTGCAGTAAGTCTCTCCATTCATGCCAATAAATATAAGCACACATGTGGACCAGAAAGATGGTAACTATTACTAAATAATATGAGATTAATGTATGGAAACTACAATAGAATTGACTATGGAAAACCATAAGATCATCACTATCCAATGAAATAATGAACGTTCATGGAGTGGGTGGGAAACACCAGTACAGGCCATGTCCTCTACATCCTACATTCTCTCCATTACCTTACCATCTTTTAAATGGATGGTGCTGAATCCAGTGGACTATAGTATGGCCAATCGGATTATAGAATATTTTCCATTAATAGAACAGGCATATTCATTTTATCCAAGGATGGATAAAGCTTTGCAAAATCAGTTTCCTAAGGAACAAATTAATTCTTTTACTCCCATATGAATCAACTAGTGTATTATATCAAGTATAAACACTACAAAATGAAGGAAATTCTTGCTCTCCTGTAAATATAGTCCATTAATTTAATACATATATTTCAAGATATCATAATAGTGTAGTTTCAAGATATCATATGCATATCTTACAAACCATGAAGATGGGTAAAAGTGTCAAAATTGTGGCTTTAAACAAAGATTTAACTCTGAAACTTATTTTGTATCGACCGAACAACCTAAGTAGTGAATAGATATCTTTTTTTGATAATGTTAACCTTAAGTAGTGAATAGAAATCACTCAGAGAACTGCTTTTTCTGCTTTTCATAAATAAAAAGAGATTAATAAATTGATAAATTATTTGCCAATTGCGCTTAAATTGCAAGAGACAGGAAAACGTCAGCTTGCCCAAATGGGTCCTAAAGCTTTAAAGGGTATAGTCTCATGAATTAGGCCCTAAGAAGGACATAAATAAAACCTCATAAGCATGGGATTTCCCACTAAAAAAACGGGGGGCTGGGTTAGCTAGTTTGGACTTTTTGGGATAACCTTCAAGGGTTCGAACCACTACCTCCCCCCACCCAGAGCAATAAGCTTACCACTAAGCCGGAGCCTAAGAGGTAAAAATCGTAGAATTAATAACACAAAACCGAATATATAAACTGGAACAGCTTTTAGTATTATATAAAACAATGATTACAGAAAAATTCAAATATAAAACATAGAAAATGAAGAAAAGGAATCTAAAACACAAAATTAGAACACGGACAACTTTCAATGCACACAAAAATCCCATTTTGAATGATCGCAAGAGCCTACCAGTCAAAAATTGCATGATCATAACCGCCACATAGGAGCTCCAAATAATCACTGCATAATCCCATATGTGACAATAGCCAATTCAGTTCAATAGCTTATACTCAATAAACAAAGAGAAAAACCCAAAATTCAATTAAAAATGCATAGTCAACCCTTTTTAATCATTCCAGATTGGATATAGGAGCCAAGCTCCATGTTACAAGGCATCATGAAATCAACAAGAATGGAAAATGAAAAAAAGATGGGTTATGTAAAACCAAGTATATATACTAGTTTTTGTCCTAAGCCAATCATTTCATGGTTCAAAGCCAAGCTCCATGCGTTATTTGATTTTCCTGGTTGAAGGATATGGACTAAGTGGTGTCACTTTATCACTGTTTAATAGACAAGAACTGATTCTGAAGTGAGACTATTATACAGCAAAACAAACATCAGACCATGTAAATTAAATTTAGCCTCTCAAAAGAGCCCAGCTCCTACATCGTTACCATTGTTTTGTATGGTAAATGGTTCAACTAGAAGAAATGCTAGCTTGAGCTCCAATTGGAAATGTCTAAAGCTCCAAAACATCAAACCCACAAAAAGAGGGCATCAACATCTTTCCCTTTTTTTTTTTTCCACAGTACGTGGGCCTTTCGTTAAACTATATGCTGTTAATCGGAAGCTGATGTCATCTTTTTTTTAAAGTGTTAAATGTTGTATTAAAAGACATACAAAAGGTTGATCCACCAACATTCCTGATGATCGTGTACAAAAACTCCTTACAGAGCCCAAAAAATGCTATGCAATTTAAGATTGTTGAACATGAAAACAAAAGGTTGGGTCTAGTGCTCAAAAAGGTGCCCAAAAGTCCCATGTGTTCTGCTGTGAGGTTCCTTCCTTAGTGAGGGCATCGGCTGCAGCATGGGCTTCCTTCCAAGTATGCCGCCAAACAACATGAATATCCCCTTAAAGGTGGAAAATTTAGTCAAAAATGCGATCTAAGTTCCAAGGGCAGGGGGAGGATCTTGATGCCCAGGCTATAACATTGTTAGAGTCCCCTTCGATGATCAGAGTGGCACCCCAAGAGGAGTTGAAGTTGCGAAGTCCTACAAGAAGGTCTAAGGCTTCAGCAGCGGTGGAGTTGGTGTTGCCAATGAAGTGGGAGAAGGAGAAGAGGGCGATGCCATTGAAATCTCTGAAAATGCCCCCTATACTTGAGGGGCCTGGGTTGTCGAAGTTGAGCTTAACTATGGAAGCCACTCGGAAGCTGATGTCATCAAGTTGCATCATGACGACTTTGGTAGCATTCTGTCATACACTGAACTTTCCTATCTCGGTACTAAGTCAAATACGGCAGGAAGTTAGTGCCAACATTGTGTACAGTCATTCCATAATTCTCAATGCTCTTTCACACGCACCATCTGTGTAAAACAAGCATTTTATGAAGATCAATGGACCAATACCAGTATTGGTAGATACAGACTATGATTTAGATGTTGCAACTTGCAAGTAGTAGTTGGACATAGGGCAATTAAGGCCCCTGCTCAAGTTGAATTCAAGGAGTTTGTTTTGCAATCTTAGCCAACATGGTGTACTCTTCAAGAGGTCATTGACACGTTGGAGCATGTTTACTAGGAAATCCTGGTTATTTTGTTTCTTGGTATGAATATTGAGGTGTCGAATGCTCAAGTTTCTGCAATTGTAAAAGCATAGTTAAATTTTTATTGTATACCTTCGTGCACTGTGTAAAAAACCTTGTTGTTATTTGGTGTTTGAAGCACTGTTTCTATTTGATGGATAGATCATGCTTATTTTGTAGTAAGTGTTCCATGAATTTTTGCTGATATTGATTCATAATACTGATCCTTGTTCATCACATATGGAGTCAGCTAATGGCTCATTCTGGTCAGTGCATTCACCTTTACCTTGCTACAAAGGCCTTACTTGAAATGAGGCATGATTTGGCTTAAGGTATTGGCATTCATCACTGTTGGCAGTTCTGTAGATCATAAAAGTAATGCTCTAACTTTCGTTAAAATAGTCTGATATGGCATGTCCAATGAATGAGAAATCCTATGTACTAAGGTACACAAAAAGTCAGTCTAGTTTGATCAATGTAAATGAGGTAGACAAGTGTTCTGTTTCTCTAATTGTAATAAGTTCACAGCAGCAACATTTGAGTTCATAAGGAAGCTGTATCTACTCAGGTATTGTTATCCTCTAAATGTATTTCAATAATTTAATCATATGCTTGACTAATCCACACAACAAACACACACCAGTTGAGTGACCAATAAATATAAGACACAAGAAAAGATTACTGCTATCAGATGAAGTGAGCAGTAAATAAGAAATGATTGCATAAATGTTAATTAATTGTCAACCAGCAAATTTTAAAATTGAATACAAGAATATTGGCTAGTGATTGTTGATTGTGAGGCCACAATCCTGGACTGGAAGGGACACCAAAGGGAACCTCCTTCTGCCCTTCCATCCCTTGGATAGATAGAGAGGTAGGGCAGAGCTTTTGGTTTTTTCATGTTGTCAAACACAAACAATTGAACAAAGCAGACATTAAGCGTCTTTATTATGGTCGTTTCGTTCTATCTCTGCTTATGAAAGGTCAAGCTGATACGATAGGTATCGTGATGTGAAGGTCTTTACTTGGAGAAATAGAACCCAAGAAGTTGGTCTCTAACTAGAAAAGTAAACGCTTGAGCTTGAGAAGCATTTGGGGCGGTAGGACAATGAAACTCACTAGGGTAAGCGGTATTATTGAACCAGACGAAACAACAAGCAATGAAACCAAAGACACATAAAGCCCCCAAACTATAAGACAAGTAAGCTTCTCCACACCATACAAATGCGCGGCGAGCCCACGCAAACAGTTTGGTTAAGATATTCCAGATTCCACCAAGTATATATATATATAGGGTGTGGTTTCCATAAGGTTGCAACCTTAAACAATCCAATTAAGGCGCACCTTCAAATTTTATCATAACATATAATTTTGATGTAAAATATTCTTAGGATTGTCTCAACATCTATTTTTATATCTAATTATAAAATTTTAAATTCTAAAAATGGTTAAAATCAAGTAGGTCAATAAACATATGAAAATTTTGAAAATGGACGGTCTAGATAATATGTTGTAAGATACACTATTTCTGAGTCTCAAAATCCTTTTATTTTTCATATTCATACATCTCGATGTCGAGACGTTCAATTAGAAGGTTTTTCAAGATTAAAACAACTTTTTCCATGGATTTTTGAGGTGCATCCGTAGTTATACATTTTAAGGTTGCAACCTTATATAAACTTTTTCCATATATATATATATATATATGATGACAGGAAAATTATTAGAAAAGCTTCAACGATTCAATATACAATCCTAGGAACAACATTGCACCACTAAGTTAAATTTCAGTTTAGAGTAAAACGGCCACATCACCAAAATGATTGATGACAAAGGCTATCAACACAAAACATAGACTTCACGAAATTCAACAAAGAGCTGAAGTGCGACGCATTTTGGATTTGCATGCATAGCCAACAAGGCAATGGTGGATGATTCCATCCAAACCAGAGCCACATATTTTTAGTGGTATATTCTGAAGAGGAAGTATCATATAGTCCAATCAAATTATGGAAAAACGATCAGCCATACCTTCCATTGAGATGATGTAAAAGTGAATGGGAGTGACTTGACCACAATGTTGAGTGCCAGTTGCTATGACCATTCATCACTTTCATGGACAGCAGCCACCCAATAGTCTATGCCTCTTCCATGGGCCATATTTTATAGTATACATTCCCACTTTCTGAAGTAGAGGTTTAGAGTTTAGATCAATAACTTTTAGATCAATAACTCCATCCATGGATATTCAAGCACCACACCGGACAAAATTCACATTCAGCCCCACCACCACTAACAAATTTTAGAGCAATCCCCCCAACCAACGCTCTATTAGTCAAAAGTCATCGATTTCATAATCAGAATTTCCACCTAATGACTTCATTTGTAACTCCTTGCGAGGCCTTAATGAGACGCCTCTCGCCAACATCTCTTCATCATACTTCCTTGCAAGGTCTAATCTACCCTTTTGTATCAAAGCATCAATGAGAGCATTGTAAGCAAACTCATCAGGACTGCAACCTCTTTCCTCCATCACCTTCCATACATGAAAAACTGGTCGTAAATATCCCAAACTCCCAAACTTCTTAATCAACATGACATAAGTTTCCATTATTGGGCTGCAACCGCTCTCAACCATTCTATCAAATAGGTCCAGAAGTGCCTTTGGTTCTGATAGGCTAGAAAAGAAACAATGGTACGTAATGGCATTTGGTGCATAACCATTGCTAGGCATTTGCTCTAACAGATCATAGGCCTCTGTAATTCTGCCTGTGCGACAAAGAAGCTTGATTATGGTATTGTAAGTCACTATGTTCGGGGGGCACCCCGTATCCACCATTTCATGGTAGACTTGAAGAGACTTTCTCACTTCATTTGCAAGGCCAAGAGCATGGATCACAGTGTTATAAGCAGCAGTATCAAAAACAATCCCTCTCTCTTTCATTTCATCATACAATTTAACAGCTTTCCATGGCTTATTCATCTTTATAAGAATACCCATGTAAATGGTGTATGAATATAGATCTCGAGCTATTCCCTTTTGATCCATTTCCTCCCAAAAGCTTCTACATTTTTGCCACCACCCCAATTTGCACCACCCACGAATAACAATATTATAAGTCTTTGTTTCTATGGGGAATTCACGATCTTTTCCGAGTGCTAATTCTTCTGCTTCAGTAACATGTTTGTGTTCACAGAGAGCATCAATAAGGGTGAAAAACGCAGTCTTATCTTTCAATTTGAAGTCTTCCATTTTTTGATAAATCTCAATAGCTTCTTTTACCATATGGGCAGAGGCATACCTCTTGAACATGATCCGAAATGTGGTTTGATCCGCCAAACCACTTTTCTCACGCAATTTTTCGATCAATTTCTCGCAAAGATCAAATTCCAAAGCCTTACCGAGAATATCAAGCATAAGATTACAAACCCCTGTGCTATGTTCATACCCAGATTGTGTGTCAGCCCAATTGAAGAAGTTGTAAGCAATTTTCCAGTTGTTTGTGAAGCTACGAATGGTTTTTTCAACGATTTTATGATCTGCTTTGACATTGATCTCACGCATAAGAGAATCAAATTCATTTTCGTCAGGGGAATGGTAAATCAAAGCTCTGAACACCTTTTCGGAAACTAAATCATCAATATTCGACGAATTTGATGTTGGGGAGGCAGTAGAAGAAGATGTTTTTTACTAATTGAATTTGTGGGTGATTTTGCAATTGAACTGGAAGTTGGCTTTCTTCCCCTCGAATTTGTGGGTGATCTTGTTATTGAAATCGAAGTGGAAGATGGTCTTTTTTTCATTGAATTTGTGGAAAAGTCATGAACTAAAAGTGAATTCAGAAAAGGAAAGATTTGAAAAGAGAGAGAAATTCTCTGAATATGGTAGGGTAAGCGGCTGGAGAATAGATTGGGTAATGGCATTGTGGTGAAGGATTGAGCAAAAATCAGAAACCATTCGATAGAGGGGAAGATAAATTGCAGAAAGGCTACTGAAATGGGATTTAATTTTGAGGCATGAATACAGGAATTGCGCAGTTCGTAAATAACAAAGGGAAGAACAAACGGGAGTGTAAAAGGCAGCGAATAACTACTGTAAATGGATGTATATAAGAAAGTCTGTGCCGAGTTCTTATATAGTTCTCAAGTGTACGGGAGATGCAGTGTCTAAGGTCTAGGTTTTATGAAAATGAAGTAAAGCCTCTCATCCCACATTTTCATTACTACCATATCGTACCTCACATTTTAATCATCACACTATGGTTTCTATTTTTATTTCTACTATCTAATTTATTTGGTTTTCATTTCTACTATCTAGTACCCCCACATTTTAATTGTCACATTTTAGTTTCCATTTCTACTATCTAATTTACTTGAAGGAACTCTCCTAATCTAATCTGGTTTCCATTCCTACTATCTAATCTATTTGAAGGTAGGGCCTATATTTCCCATTGAATTGCAAAAAAAAAAAAATCTTTATAATAATTTTAAAATTAGTTTTCAACACGGACTATCAATTTTGAAGCTTAAAAAAATAATACAGATCTTATCGATATGTGAACACTTATTATTAGGGCGAAATGAGCGGTCTAGATAATTTGTTCTAATATACATTCTTTTGAGGGAATAAAAATTTTTCTTTTTTTTTACGATCATAATGGTCAAGGCTGAGATGATAGATTTGAAGATTTTTCTACACTAGAATTACACTTTTTTATGAATTTTAAGGTGAGGCGTTATTTATTTTGATCGGACCCCATAAAATCATTTTCCATTTATCTTTATTTCAAGGATGCCACTGGTACTTTTAACCATTAAATGTTAAATTAGATGGCTTGAAGTGTATCACAAAGTTCAATTTTTTTTTAACTTTGAGTTTTAGCCAATGACACTCTTACAATTACCCGATTTGAAATCTAATGGACAATAATAATTGTGACCTCCTCGTACCAAAACAAATGGTCTCTTTGTATATTTTTTCAAAATATAATGATTTGAAATATTCTTACGGATGGTTAGGATCGCATCTAAGTATTTTAATTTTATTTATTTTTCTATTCATTTGATTGAGTTAAAGTTTTACAAGGCTTTAATTCTTCTCCTCACGAGCTTCAAAAAAAACATTGAATATTTTTTATATTTTTAATAAAAATAAAATAATTAAAACTCCAAACAAATTTCTGGTTGCCAAATGATCCCTGGAAGGAAAAGGTCAAAATGTTCATATGCCGCATTCTCTCTCTCTCACTCAGTGTTATGAGGTTCAGACTGACTAACAAATCAGGTAGGAATATGGCCCAATTAAAATCGATCCAATCACCAGTTAAATTAGTTGGAACAGATTTTAGAAAAAAATAAAATAAAATGCATTAAAAATATTTGCCAATTTCATTTAGATGTTAAAACTGGTACAACCGGCTGGTCTGCCCATTCAAACATCAATTTTAACAGGTTTTCGAACAAATCTAATTTTTACCTTATACTAGACTGGTGAAAGCACAAGTCAGCAATCCAACGGGTTGGATCACTGGTTCGTTTAGGTCTTGAAATGTTCTCTCGTTCAAACAACGGTCTGAGAATGCCCAATTGCATTACAATTAAATCTAGTTTAGGATTTCTACTACCTTAATGAGGGTGAATATACGTACACCAGAGTCAGTCATGGATCATAATATATGGTACGCCAGGTGTGTATCCACCATTTGTTCTTGATGGGAACGGTAGAGATTAAGTCTAATAGTGGGATAGTCTACAATTGTATCTACGGTAACCTTTGAAGTTAGTCCTCAAAACCTCAATCAGGTGCAGGCAATAGAGCTTCCTTTGGAGCTCCCTCCATGCAAATGAGAGTTTGAATCATGGGATGAAAAATGAAGGAGAAAGCTGAGATATGATAGGCCACTCCTCGTATACGAGACGCTAAAAAATGGTGTGGGGAAAGGGAGAAAAATTATCAACACGATCAGTGGCAGCATTTTGATACACGAGTAACTCGGCCTCGCCCTATGAACGAGAGGAATTTTAGGCCTGTAGGTTGTAGAACATGTTTTTAAAGTTCTATTACTTTAATACGTGAAATAAAACTCAAACTTGCTTGAATGGCTTCATGCTTTATGCATGTATTTTAACGTAGTCAGGGTTCGAATATCACAAGAGGACACCACTTTTAAAGACCGTCATTTATTTATATGATGGGAACAAGGGCCGAGTATTTTAGCCAAGTCGATTTGTATGATATGATGGGAACAAGGCCTGAGTACTTTAGTTAAGTCGAATTTTTTTATATGATGAGAACAAGGCCTGAGTGCTTTAGCCAAGTCGCTTTATATGATAGAAACAAAGCCTGTGGACTTCAGCCAAGTCGATTTTCTGAATATTGGTTAATGAAAAATCCCCCCTTAGAGCTTCTTTTTGGAGCTAGGGACCTAATTTGGTGAGCTAGGAGCTCAAGATTTTGGTGGGAGGGCTTAATTTTGGATGGGAGAAGATAAAGATTTTGGAGAGAATGAGAGATAAAATCTTAAGATTTTTGGAAAGGTAAAGACCATAGAATATTAGGGAAATATTAAGTGATAAGTAGGTTTTTGTAGCCATCTTGTGTCGTGTATGATATGAGATCTATAGCAATTACCTTTGTAGAGGTTTGAATTTTAAGAAGGAATTTAGAGTTGAATCATCATCATCATCATCCAAGCCTTATCCCAATTAATTGGGATCGGCTACTGACATGTTCATCCATTCTCCTCTAGATTCAAATTCATGATAAGATATGACAAAGTTTTACGCTGGTTGTCGACTTGAATCCAGCTCCTATACCCTAGCCTGGAAATACGAGACAAACTAAAAAAAAAAAAGTAATTGGAAAGTCTAGTTACAAAATCAAAGTTTGGCATCTAATTGATCCAATGGAAGAAAGTACTTAAAAGTTTTCACATAGCATGTTGAGACTTTTATAAACACTGCACCTGTCTTTGTGATGTGCAACAAATCTTTTATAGCAAAAGAAGACCCGAGGATCACTTCTGAGAGAGCCTGTAAGAGTTATTATGCCGAATAGAATATCGGGCGATCTTTAGCCTCAGTATAAGGAGCACAAAAACCATAAGAGATAACAAAAGGTACATATAACTTTTAGGAGATAATAAAAGATAAGGGGAAGTTCTTCATGAGTCAGACGGTGCAAGAGCCAGCTGACTCACCAACGTCTATCTTTAAAATGGACGTTGTAAAAAACCTCACAGGATTTATACAATATAGAATTTGTTTTTTCACAAAAATCACATTTTAAATATTAAAAATTTATTTATTTTCATGTTCATGATCATCTTAGCCTAGATCTTGAATTCCTAAAATTTTAAATTCAAAATCAATTTTTAAGATTGTTTAATGAGGGTCCCGCATATGTACAATATGAGTTGGCTAACTCATAAAAACCCCATCCAAAAGATGAAGTTAACTCCTTTATCACGAAGAGTTATTATAACCATGTAACTATATAATCTTTATCTATATCATACACTCTTGAGCATTGTAACCATATAATTTCAAGGGAAAATTACATCTACACCGTTTTATTTTACTGTTATAACAAAAATGCCCAAAAATATTTATACATAATGACTAACCCCCTCATATTTTTTTTTTTTTTTTTTTTTTTTCTAATTTTGCCCCCAATCTAATGTTTCAAATATTGGATCACCTGCTAATTTTCATTTTTCTTATTTTTTTATATTCATAAAGCCATTAATATAAAAAATGAAACGACACAATTTGTAGGGAATAAAAAAATCCAACTTTGCCCCCGATCTGATGTACTTACTTCAACCCATGTTGTCTCATATTCTTTACGAGCCTTCCAATCTCAAAACCTACACACGTTTGGTTCGAATTGATCTGAGTGCATCTTTTCACACCAATTGGGAACTAATTGATGTAAAAATATTCTCACACTTGACCAAAAGAGAGAATATTTTCATGTAAAAATGTTTTTTAGAAAACATTTTCATACGAACCAAACGTGTCAAGTCTATACCAAAATCCAAGAGAATAAAAATGTCTCATTTAAAAGGCCCTTAATCAAATATTTTTCCATAATCATGAAACCAAATATTGCTATAAAATTGAAGAAACAAGGGAATAAAAAAAATAGACCAGTAACCCAAAAAGAAAGAAAGCCCAATAAAATCAATAAAAATAAGAACAAAAATATTCACCCCAAGTAAATAAATAACAACAAAAAGACCCAATTACCTGCAGGATAGGGTTTCCCGAAATTTCATTCAGTATTATAATCTCTGCAACAAGTTGGTAATCATCTTGAATTGCTTCTTCAGCTACTTAATAACTGCAGAGAGCTTCGTCATCGTCTCTCCTTGCACAATTTTTTATTATAAGAAGATACGAAATGGGCCAATTTTGGGCAAAAAATACGCAGAAGGTCAGTCAACCCGGTTTTTTATTTTTCTAAAATTGCCCATCCAAAGATGCAATCTTCAAATTGTTTTTTAATTAATTTAAGTTTTTAGTTTTTTTGTTAATAGGGTAGTGCCCATTTGAGGTTGGCATCTTCAGACCGCCTTATTTCTTAGCACACAAATGAGCTAATGCATTCGAGAATGCCAAGCTCTGACCACCCTGAAGAGTACAGAGAAGGTGGCCTCTTAAATGCTTAACAAAGTCGGTCTTTGCAGTTTGAGGATGCCAACCTTTGATGACTTTGAAGAGCACCACAAAAGGAAGTCCAATGATCCTAATATCTGACCGACTGGGCACCTTACTATCATAAAAACTCAAAAAAAAAGAACATAACAGTCCAAGGATGGCATCCTCAGATGGACCAAGGGGCAATTTTAGAAAAAATAAAAAACCTCAGATTAACTAACCTTTCGTATAATTTTAACCCAAAATTAATTTTATATATATATATATATATATATATATATATATAT